CAATTTATAATATTCTTCACATTGTGCCATTGCTTCTTCAAGTGTTCACTTCTCTTTCGGTAGGTCATTAGATGACGGACTAGTTGGAGGCTTCAATACATTCTGATTATTCCATGAAAAATTGGGATGATTTCTCCATCCTGGGTTGTATGTTGCACTGTATGGATTGTTTTGCCGATTGTGATTTGCAACAAAGTGTGCTTGCTCTGCTTGGGATTGAGAGAAGGGATTTCCCACTAGACAGTCTTTGCTCGGATGGTTTCCATAACAAAGATCACAAACTGGTGGTGTCAAGTGAATGGCAGCAAGTCCATTATAGAAGTTTTGAACTTGCATCCACTTCGGCAATCCAGGGTGAGGGCATCGCCTAAGTAGGTCTTTATATTGCTCCCAAGCCTCATAAAGTGATTCGCCCTCATTTTGAACAAAAATTGAAATCTCATCGCGCATATTTGCTGTCTTTGCTGGTGGAAAAAATTTAGCAAGAAACGTCTGAGCTAAATCTTCCCAAGTAGTGATTGAATCTGCAGGCATTGAATTTAGCCAATTTTTTTCTCTGTCTCGAAGAGAAAGGAAATAGCCGAAGGTGAATGGCATCATCAGTAACTCCATTTTGCTTAAAGGTATCGCAAACTTCCAAAAAACTTGCTATATGGGCATTGGGGTCATCACTCGGAAATCCATTGAATTGATGTTTGTATCATTTGTACGATAGCCGGCTTAATCTCAAAGTTGTTGGCTGCAATACTAGGCTTCCTGATAACTAAATTGATTCCCGTGACCTGTGGTGAAGCAAAATCCCTTAGAGTTCGTATGTCACGTCTTGGATTCTCGTTGTTTACCATAGTGTTTGAATTTTTTTGAACTTCTCGCTTCTTCTTCCTTAGTCCCTTCGCACTTTTCTCAATTTCTGGATCATAAGGTAGTAGTTCCAAACTCTTGTTGCATCTCATATACTAAGCAAAAACCTAGAAATAAAAGACAACACAAAACAAATCAACTTAGATCAAATTTAACTAGTATAGATATTATCAATAATTTCATCTACTTCCCCGGCAACGACATCAAAAACTTGCTGGTTGAAATCGCAATTGCACAAATTGTTACAAGTAATAAAGTGAATGAGTAAGAGTATCGTCCCACGAGGAAAGAAAAATTACAAATAAGTATCAAAATTTATTAA